GGTCTTTCAACCTCCACAATAGTCCTTGTTTGTTTGCTAAAAAGCCAAAGGATTGTCAAATTTGATATTGTATTTGAAGGAATAATAGAAATTGGGCTTACTGACATTTTAGTGGCATTCCATTCATCAAAACCTGCTTTGTGACATATACTCAAGATACATTCATTAGGATGCTGGGGTGTGTAAGGTATAAGAGCTGCATGACTTAGCATCACTCCAGAATGAGATAATATAAACAAGCACCATCAGAATGTATGGAGAAGAATATAGAATCCCATGGATAGGAGGCTGCTTCAGAGCTAAATTGGGCTTGGCCTGAACTTTAAAGGGAGGCTAGCATTTGAACATACAGAGGAAAAGCACAGGGTCTTCTAAGTGGGAAAAATACGAAGTCAAGATTTGTAGCTTGGTGTATTTGCAAAACTGTTGAACAGTGAGCTTAGTTCATATGTATGGGAAGAGGGTAACAACAGATTAGGGCAAAGAGCCCATACAATCAGGGCACTGGGCTTTTCATTCTTCAAGTACTGGGGGAACTGGAAGCATCCAGTAGAGTTATTGCTTATTATATGATGAAGGAAGCATACCAGCCATGGAGAGGAGAGATTGGTGTAAAAGAATGCTAATGAGCAAGTTTTTTTGTTTGTTTGTTTGTTTTTTGAGACACGGTTTCTCTGTGTAGCTTTGGAGCCTATCCTGGCACTCGTTCTGGAGACTAGGCTGGCCTTGAACTCACAGAGATCCGCCTGCCTCTGCCTCCCAAGTGCTGGGATTAAAGGTGTGTGCCACCAACACCCGGCTGCTAATGAGGAAGTTTTGATGAAAGTTCCCAACTGGTCCTTCTGTGTTGCTGTTTGAGATTGCTCCCACTGGTTTGGACAGTAGCTAGGAATTACTCATCAAGTACTTTCCTGGGAAACAGTTTTCTTCTGTTTGTTGCATAGGTTTCTAGAGAGAAGCCCAGTAATGGTTGTAGCCTCTCCATCAAAATTGATTTTGCAGCAGCCTCCACCACTGGAACCTGAGGATGGCATACATCTGCCTTATATAAAACATAAACAGCCTTTCAGCATGTAGGGGATGCTGAGCCAGCTAACATTTGCACCCAGGGTACTCAATAATGGTTCTTACTGTCAGTGGCCACACCAGCATGCTGGCTAGTAACTTTAGTCCTCAAGCTGAAAAGCTGTCTGGGCCTGTCCAGCTGTGGGACACTGGAAATGCTGAGTTTCTTGATTCCAAGGCTGAGAATTGGATAGCTGTGGTGCTGTCACCGCTAATGTTCCAATGAACCAGAAATTTGTCTTGGCCTGTTGTCTGGATGGTCAAATATTGCAGTATGCATTCTAGTGTGTGTGTGTGTGTGTGTGTATGTGTGTGTGTGTGTGTGCTCGCCCGCGCGCGCGCATTGAATGAAGAATTGCAATTTTGACATGTTGAACTTTAAGAAATATTGGGAGAGTCACGTGACCTTACAGCATGTTTAACGTGCTTAATGATAATGAAAGAAATAAAACATGAGATGTGAAAGAAGTGCTGTTAGGCTAGAATGCTGATTGAGACTTGAGAAAGGAACCCTGGCGGAAAGAAGGGGGTTTAGTCTGCCACAGGGTGGCTGGTCATTCCTCTATCATAAAAACCCCAACACTGGAGGCATGAAAGCCACAGAAGGAATTTAGGGACAGATGGCCCATGGTGGTGACATGTAAGTTGGCTGCCAGTGCTGGCTTCTGCAATAAACAGATTCTTTGTGTTTTAACTTCATTTCCATTTCCATGTTTGTTTTTTAAATTTATTTATTTGTTATGTCTACAGTGTTCTTAAGATTTATTATATATACAGTGTTCTGCCTGAATCTATCCCCGAAGGCCAGAAGAAGGCCCCGGATCTCATTACAGATGGTTGTGAGCCACCATGTGGTTGCTGGGAATTTAACTCAGGCCCTCTGGTAGAGCAGCCAGTGCTCTTAACGTCTGAGCCATCTTTCCAGCCCCAGAAGAAGATGTTAGTTTTAAGAAGAGTCAGACCTCTTCAGAGGGACTAAGCTGGATTGCTATCTTTTTTGAAGTAACTTAAATATTTAATTTTTGTGCTATTATAAATATGAAAGTTGGACAGCAGACATGATCCTCCTGTGTGTGTCCTCAGGTATAATAAGCATTCTCAGCAACATAATAGTTCTGGGCATCTTCATCAAGTACAAGGAGCTGCGGACACCCACCAATGCGGTGATTGTGAACCTGGCTCTCACCGACATAGGGGTCAGTAGCATTGGCTATCCCATGTCTGCGGCTTCAGATCTGCATGGAAGTTGGAAATTTGGATATTCAGGCTGCCAGGTATTGGAGAACTTTGGAATGAAAAAGAAATAAAGTAAAGAAAACAGATGCAAATTTAAATGTCTTTTTAAAAATCCCAAGGGCTGGGGAGGTGGGGGGGGGGGGCAGCAGGGAAAGTGGTGGCTGGGGGCTGTGGGAGCAAGGTGACCTGAGTTTAGGATGCCAACCCCTATGCGATGGAAAAGCCAAGTGTGGCAGCACACACCTTAAATTCCAGCTTGAGGGAAGCAAAGGCCAGTTTAGTCAAACACTATTGAGGGAGAGACCCTACTCAAAAATAAATAAATAAATAAATAAAACCAAAAATTGGAGAGCATAGAGAAGACACCCATGTCAACCTCTGGCCTCCAAATGCTCACACATGGGTGTGTTTAACTTTGCACGTACACATCACACATACAAAACAACAACAAAAATCCAGTAATTTAAAACAAGATATTGTAGGATATTCATTGCTTCTGCGGAAAATAGCTTCAGCAATGATTGAGGATGCGTTTATTTTTTAGTACTTTATTTTTGTATTTTATGAGTAGGGTGTTTTGCCTCCGTATATATATATGTCTTGTACTACATATGTGCAATGCTGGTGGAAGGTGGTAGACCCCCTAGAAGTTGAGTTACAGAAAGTTAGTTGTGAGAGGCCATGTGGGTGCTTGGAATTGAACTTTCAGTTCTCTGGAAGAGCAACCAGTGCTTTTAACTGCTGAGCCATCTTCCCAGCCCCAAGAATCCATTCTTTAAGGAGAGATGTAAGATTACTAATCATATAAGATTCTCTGGACCCCAAGAAAAGGAATCAAGGAGCCAAACAACTGGTGTTCGACCACAGAAAAAATAATCCATATATTTCAATAAAATGTGCATATTAAAATGTATATTCTTTCACTTCAAACAAAATATTTAGTGGCCATCATATTCACTAAGAAATGTATTCATGTTACCACAGTTAATCTTTTACTGTAGAAGGTCTTTTGTGAGAAATGTTAATAACTATTTACTGTTATTTCTTCTTACAAGGGAATATATTGATATTAATTTACGTTGGGATAGTAGGCAAATACAATTTGTGGTCATATTTTAATAGTTTTAGTCTTCTGCTATTCTAAGCCTTAAAATAATAGAGGCTAAAGTAAGATTAATGGAGAATACTATAAATATTACATGGGAGGGTGTTGGAATGGCAGACTGTTAACTGCTTGTTTTTCAGATTTATGCTGGATTGAATATCTTTTTTGGAATGGTGAGCATTGGCTTACTCACAGTTGTGGCTATGGACCGGTACCTGACCATCTGCTGTCCTGATATAGGTAATGGCATGTTTATTGTCCTCAATGAAAACATTATTGTGTAACAGTCACTCAACATGTATTCATTTAAAAGTACAAACATAAAGATTTATAATCGGGCTCAGTTTAGTTCTCTAGAAACCCTTGTTCAGAAGTTTTGACAAAACTTAGAATACAGTCTGGATTTCATTAGGCACCCTGCAAGGCCTCACAGGATTGGCACTGGTTGCCTTTCTGGCTTCATCCAGGGTCACTGTCACTTTGGGGTACTGCCCAGGCACTTTGGCCTTTGGGACTTTTGTTTGTGTTGTTTTCCTTGGCCTTTAAGGCTATTGTTCCTGTTTATCCTCTATACTTTTACCATTCAGATTTTGGATTGCCATTTTTGTCAGAATGTGACTTTGTGTGTTCTAAGGTGTTCTGTGGAGAATGTACTTGATTACTGTTTTGAGTCATCAGTGGAACCAAAGTGAGTCCTGCCTTTGTGAACAACACTAATGCTTCATGTGCTTCACAACAGGAAGAAGAATGACCACCAGCACTTACGTCAGCATGATCCTGGGCGCCTGGACCAATGGCCTGTTTTGGGCTTTGATGCCCATCATTGGGTGGGCTAGTTATGCCCCAGATCCTACTGGGGCCACCTGTACCATAAACTGGCGGAAAAATGATATGTAAGATATGTGTTTGCATCTTCTAGTCAGATGCTCTCTTCCTTCCTCCCATCAGTGTTATTGCAAAGACTGTGGCAAAGACTTGCTTGTTGTGATACACATGGAAACAAACGAAAGAGTGGCTTATGCTTGCTTGCAAGTCAAAGTTATCTGGCTCCCTTTATCCCTTTCTTTGATCCTTTCTTCCTTCCCGTGTCCTTTGCTCAGGCAGCAATGGGGACATCCTCCCTCTTGTCACTCATCTTGGAGCTGGGATCACAAGTGGGAAGAGGGCTAGTGAAGCTAGAGAGTGGGCAGCTCTAACCCAAACCTAGGCCACCTCCGTATTCTCTTTTCTGGATGGTCTGGGGTTCAAGAGTCCCTGCAAGGATTTTCCACAAGTTAATGACACTCCTCTAGGTTTTCCATGGAAGTGAGGATTATTTAGTTCATTAAGGGAAATGAATGATGCCTCAAAAACAAAACAAAAACAAGATCTTCTAAAATATTTTTCTGTAAAGAGTCAAACTTCAGACAGTGCACAGCTTGGCCATTATACTGTCAAAGTAGCCATCAGCAGACTGTAAATGAATGTACATGGCTGTGTTT